TGTGTGTGTGTGTGTGTGTGTGTGTGTGTGTGTGTGTGTGTGTGTGTGTGTGTGTGTGTGTGTGTAGAACCAGTACGAGAAGCACAAGGAGGTGTCGACGTCTCAGGGGGTGAAGATTCTGGGTAAAGACCTGGAGAAGACGTTGGCAGGGCTCCCCCTGCTGGTGGCTCACAAGGATGACGAGATCCCTGTGCTGAGGGTAACGCTCACAGAGACACACACACACACACACACACACACACACACACAGTGTTGAGGAGGTGACCTGACTGCTCCTGGTTTTCAGGATGAACTCGTCCGAGAGTTGAAACAAACTCTGAGCTCCATCAAGCTGGAGGAGAAAGGAGTTTACGTCCAGGCGTCGACGCTCGGGTCGCTGGAGGCTCTGCTCGAGTACCTGCGCACATCTAAAGTCCCTGTGAGTTCCTGTCTCTCTCAGGACCTTTACTCTGAAATCTAAAACCTAAAGAACTGACCTTTGACCTGTGTTTGTGCGCAGTACGCCGGGATCAACATCGGCCCGGTTCATAAGAAGGATGTGATGAGGGCGTCGACGATGCTGGAACACGACACCCAGTACGTCTCTGCTGTTTCTACAGTGACCACGTTCAAAACTAACGTGTGATAACGTGTGAGTCGGTCACAGGCTTCGTCCATGTACTCACGTGACTGTTTACAGGTACGCTGTGATCCTGGCGTTTGACGTGAAGGTGGAGAGGGAGAGTCAGGAAATGGCCGACAGCCTCGGAGTTCGTATCTTCTCGGCTGAAATCATCTACCACCTGTTTGACGCCTTCACCAAGTACAGAGAGGATTATAAGAAGGCCAAGCAGGACGAGTTCAAGTAGGAAGACGCTCCGACGCTCTGAACTTCGTCTCACGTCACTCCTGCTCCGTTTATTTGGGAAGCAGGACGTTTTTTCTCCGTCAGTAACGTGTCTTTTTCCTGACGTTTGTTTTCAGGCACATCGCCGTGTTTCCTGTGAAGCTGAAAATTCTTCCTCAGTTCATCTTCAACTCCAGAGATCCCATCGTGATGGGGGTGACGGTGGAGGCCGGCGTCCTGAAGCAGGGGACGCCAATCTGCGTCCCCAGCAAAGGGGTGAGACGCACTTAAAGACGGAGTGTAGTTTATATTGACTTGATCGTGATGACGGTTTTATTTGTGCATAAACATTAGAATGAGAAAGTTTCAGAGTTGATTAATGAAAGAAACAAAACGACCTCGATAATAAACCAGATTCTTCACAAAACAAAGGTTTGAAAACCACTTGAGGTGAAGCTCTTGATCTTATCAACTAAATACAGATTTGATCACAGTTCTAAAAATCGACTCGAAACACACGATGTCAGGATTTGAAGGAAAACTCCCGATGAGCTGCTCAATTATCTTGGACAATAATTCTTATCGTCAAACCAAGAAATGGATTCGTTCCGTCTTCTTAAGTCTCGTGTGATGAAAACATAACAGGACCCAGAATCCTTCCTTGTGGAACTCCGTGTGCAGCGTACACACAAACTACTTATTCATATCTTTTGCAAACATTGTGACAGATCTGATTATTGTATTGTTGATGTTTACTTCCGACACGTGTTGTAGTTTGTGGACGTCGGTGTGGTGACGAGCATCGAGATGAACCACAAATCTGTGGACACGGCTAAGAAAGGCCAGGAGATCTGCATCAAGATCGAGCCCATTCCCGGCGAGTCCCCCAAGATGTACGGCCGCCATTTTGAAGCCACCGACATGCTCGTCAGCAAGGTAAGGCCCCGCCCACTGAGGGGGGGCTAAACAGTTTTTTTTGATTGAGTTTGTTCGTGCTGATGAATCGTTTCCTCTGAAGCGTCACGAGAAAAGGTTTTAGAGATGAGACACGTGATGTCAGAGTCAGGTAGTGCGTCCGCGACAGGAAAGTGAATTTTAAGACGACGAGACAGAAATGAAAGAAAAAGGAAGAAAGAAAGAAGGGAAAGAGGAAGAAGGGAAATGAGGTAAGATGGAAACAATAGAAGGAAGAGAAAGGAAAATGAAATGTTGCCAAATGATAAAATGTAATGACATCGGACTCGTGGCCAAATATATATGATGTTGATCGACTCGTTGTATTCGTAGTTTTAGTTTATATTTTAGTTTTATTGATACAAATATAAAGATAAGAGTTTTGGATGAGTAGAATGAGTTCTGTTTAAATGTTGTTTAAATGTTCTTTAAATGTAATGAACGTCAGCAGAGGGAATCGAACGTTCTGCTGAATTTACCAGACTTTGATTTGAACATTGAATCTTAAGTTGGCAGCTTTGACCTCAGAGTGCTCTCGTGTTTTCAGATCACACGGGCGTCGATCGACGCTCTGAAGAACTGGTTCAGAGACGAGATGCAGAGAACCGACTGGCAGCTGATCGTCGAGTTAAAGAAGACGTTCGAGATCATCTGAGGGACCTGACACACACACATACACACTCACACACACACACACACACACACACTTCCTCCCGCGGACGATGAGGGTCGGACAAAAAAACGAAACAAAAAAAAAAAGACAAAAAACTGAAAAAAGACGTGAACGTGTTTTTCTGTGAGAAACGCATTTTCCCACTGTTGTAAACAGTGATCGTTTGGACATTTCACACACACACACACACACACACACACACAGTATTCCAACGTGCCTGTTCTTCAGCAACAACGTTGTGTTTAATATTTTTTCTTCTCTGAGTCGTTGCTGCTCCTCCGTGTCCCAGGCTCCGCCCCCTCCTCCCCAGACCTAGGGCGACAACAAGTCAGGAGCCGGCGCTCGGCCGACCAGGTGCATTATGGGATTGTACTGAGCAGCACCAGGGCTGGAGGAGGGAAAAACCTCTGATTTTCTTTCCTGTTCACTAAACACCAAATCATCGCAGCAGCAGCGATCTGAGGTGTTGACGTCAGATGCGTTAAAGACGTTGAAGACGTTAAATTGTCGGCCATGTGGGGGTGGGGGGGTGAATGACAGAGAAGATTTTAAACAGTTTTTGCTGCAACTGCTGGTGTAATAAATTCCCATGATTCTGATGAACCGTAGTTTGAGTTTTCAGTTCCCAACATCTCAACATAACGTGAATCTTGTTCTCAGGTTCAACATCGAAGACAACTCAGTGATTGATTCTCGGTTTCATAGTGACAATAAAATTAAGAATGAAAAGTTCTTTTCATTCTTAATTTGACAAACAGAAAATTCTGAACTGGATTTTTGCTTTGAAACAGTTTTAAATTAGATTTTCACAGTTTAAAAAAAATATCTTCTCTTTGTTATTTGATCGAAACGTGATTCTGCCTTCGTGACCGTTTTTGGTTGAAATGGTCAAATTCACGATCTCGATGTGTCGATGTGTTTTATTTGACTGAACTGGAAATGTATTTATTTAATGTTTATATTTGTCTGTTTTAATTTAACTGTCACACATTATTGACGCCAGTGGTTGATTCCATTATAATAATGTTTGGCAGCTGCAGATATAAATTATAAATAATTTAAAGCACGACTAGCTCT